GATGGGATGGGATGGGATGGGATGGGATGGGATGGGATGGGATGGGATGGGATGGGATGTGAGAGAAGAAATTGTAGTCAGTGAGTCTGTGGTGATTGTGTTCTAAGAGCTCTAAGAGTTCTGCTACAGACTTCCTGATAGGACCAGGTTTTCATATCTCCATCTGTTTTCTGGGTATAGTAACCTATGAGGCTTTAAAAATCTTCATTCTTCATACCTTTAGGCACTAATCAATCGTGGGGTTAACCTAGATCCCTTGGGCAAGTGGTCAAAGACTGGACTAGTGGTATATGATTCCTCAGTGCCCATTGGTGAGTGTTTCCTGCTCAGTAGTCCTTCTTCCCCTGCCCTTGTTCCAGCATGTCACAAATGGGTCCTCCTCCACAGGTGCTACTCCCGAGTACCTGGCTGGGCACTATATGCTACAGGGAGCCTCCAGCATGTTACCTGTCATGGCCTTGGCACCCCAGGAACATGAGCGGATTCTGGACATGTGTTGTGCCCCTGGAGGAAAGACCAGCTACATAGGTACAAGAAATGCAGGCAGGGGTAGGATTTATTTGGGTCTCTACTTTTGAAAGTAGATGGGGTTGGTAACTTACTAGTGCTCAGGAAACAGTGCACAGACAGCTAGCAGAGTGGTGAGCAGCACAGGCTCTGGAGTTGGCCTGAGTTCTAGCCCTGTGGGTACCCCTTAGTACCTCTAATTTTCTTTTGTCACTTGTAAAATGGGGTGGTAATTGCTTGGATTGGCTGTTATATTATGCTTGGGTTGTAAGGGTTGAGATATGCATATAGAGGTCCTTGACATAATAATTAGTTGTAACCATTTTTGATTAAGCTGTTATCACTTAAGTCACTTAGTCTGTAGGACCAGAGAGATGTTCAGCAACAGTGGAAAAACCAGTGTTGACCCAATACAGACAGGGGAGACCCATGCCATAGGCAGTGAGGAGCAGGGCTTGTTGGGAGTGAAGTTTGCCTTGAGGTGCTGAGACTTCATCTGTGGATTCCTGGGCTGGAGTGTGACTAGCAAGTGTGGGGGCCGAGGAGCTGACTGCTGAGCACTGTATCCTCCCTCCCCTCAGCCCAGCTGATGAAGAACACAGGTGTGATCCTTGCCAATGATGCCAATGCCGAGCGGCTCAAGAGTGTTGTGGGTAACCTGCACCGTCTAGGAGTCACCAACACCATTATCAGCCACTATGATGGGCGTCAGTTCCCCAAGGTGGGACTCCCTTCTGTGCATCTCTCCTGAGGTGTCCTCCAGTTCACCTGCCTCCTTCCTGACATCAGAATGTTTAGACTTGCGTCTAGAAATAAATGGTGCAGTATTGGTGACTAAAAAAGGTGATTAACTTACCCTTTTTCCCCAGGTGGTGGGGGGCTTTGACCGAGTACTGCTGGATGCTCCCTGCAGTGGCACTGGGGTCATCTCTAAGGACCCAGCTGTGAAGACTAACAAGGTAAGGAGCTGGGGTGGGGGTGGGGTAGCTGAGAGGTCTTGGCTGGGTCTTGCAGAGCCTGAATGGGAGGTGGAATGTCCTCTTCCTCAGGCTGCCTTTTGAAATTCTGACACCCTTGGGTCTCTGTCCTGGGACAGGATGAGAAGGACATTCTGCGCTGTGCTCACCTTCAGAAGGAGTTGCTCCTGAGTGCTATTGACTCTGTCAATGCCACCTCCAAGACAGGAGGCTACCTTGTCTACTGCACCTGTTCCATCATGGTGAGGCCTCTGCCGTGGCAGAGCAGGAGGGCAGGGCTGGGAGACTATTTGCCATTTAGAGCTCTTTTCAGCTTCAGCTCTGCTCTTCTTTCCATCTTTGTCTCCCCCACATACCCAGGTGGAAGAGAACGAGTGGGTGGTAGACTATGCCCTGAAAAAGAGGAATGTGCGGCTGGTGCCCACAGGTCTCGACTTCGGCCAGGAGGGCTTTACCCGCTTTCGAGAAAGGCGCTTCCACCCCACTCTGCGTTCCACCCGCCGCTTCTACCCTCACACGCACAATATGGATGGTTTCTTTATTGCCAAATTTAAGAAATTCTCCAATTCTATTCCCCAGTCCCAAACAGGTGAGTGATCATCACTGCCTTTGCTTTTTCTGCCTTTTAAGAGTCTTTATAGTGTGACGGGAAGGGAAGGATTTCTGCTGCCCTTATCATAGCCTTTGCCTGCTTGGATAAGAGACCCCTTTCATCCCAACTAGACTTATTCCTGAGCCTGGACCCCATTGGAGTTAGCGTGCTCCTGTGGATGGGGGCCTTTTCCTTTATTCTACCAAGTGGTTGCACTTGTTTGGCACTAAATGTGTTCCCATTGTGGGTTGTGGTTTCTCTTCCTTCTTGGCCCAGGGTTGCCTTACTGGTAATGGACTTCTGCTGGTCCAGCATTGTCAGCACTGGGTTGGCAATAAAACTTCTCAGAACTGTCTGTTCTCTGAGGCCATCACACTAATTACAGATTGTTTTCTCAGCCATCTTGAGGAGTCTGTCCTGGATTCAAGGGGAAGGGTGGGGTTTTCTGAAACAGGCTTAGAGCTCTGCATGCTGGGATATAACCTGGGTTTAGGGTGTCGTGCTACCTGCTGTCCTCAAGGGGGTACAGCTTCCTCTAAAAACTTTTTGGTCCAAGTGATCCCCTCTCTTTAATGCAAGGTTCAAATATGACTTGAGTGAAGGCCAGGTGATACGCGAATCCAGGTAATCTGCTCTAAGGCACTGTTCCAATTATGTGGAGCACTTGGCCAAGAGATAGTACCCAGGCAGTTTCCTTATTTTAATGCCTCTTCGTGTCTCCACCACTGATAATCAATACCCAGTGATGAGGTTCTTTTTCTCAAACAACCTGTTTCATTTTAGCCCCAGGAAATTCTGCAACATCCACCCCTACAAATCCAGACTTGCCTGACCTGAGAGGACAAGTGACCCCCAAGCCTGAGAGCAGCAACCAGCCTACCAAGAAGGCCAAAGGGGCTGTGAAAGTAGAGCAGCACTTGCAGAAACGGCAACATCCCAAGAAGGCCTTCTTTCCGAAGCAGAATGGTATTCGCAAAGGGGCAGACTCTGAATTGTCTACCATACCCTCTATCGCAAAGGCCCAAGCCCCCTCCAAGCTCCAGGATAGCAGTCAGCTAGCTAAAAAGGCTGAAGTGATCAGGAAACCAAAGGTGACTGGGAAACTAAAGCAACAGTCACCTAAACTGCAGTCTTCCAAGAAAGTTGCCTTCTGGAAGCAGAGTGCTCCTCTCAAGGGCATGGATACAGAGATACCCCCTGGGCTGTCCCTTTCCAGGACTCAGGCCACTCAGAAGCCTGAGAACTGTGTTCAACCCCTTGGCTCTTCTCAGGGGGCTGAGAAGGGAAAGCAGCAGGTGCCACAGAAGCCTTCCAAGAAAGCTGCCTTCCAGAAACAGAGTGGCACCCTCAAGGAACCTAAGACTCCTACCATGTCCCCCCTTGGTACCAATGGGCCCCCACCAGCAAAGAGGAGAAAATCTCAGTCCAGAGCCAGCAGCCAGCCACTGCTGTCTTAGATGGATGGTTGAAACTAGATGGGGGTGACTCCTTGCTATTGTCACTGGGTTGGAACTCTTACCTCTGTGAGGATGGCTTTCCTACTGTGCATATGAATTTTAATATACATTTTACAATCTCTGGTCACTGTGTTTTTTTTTGAGGGGACTGGGTACTGGCTTTGCTGTTTTAAAGGTAGAGCTGGGAGGGTGGGTCAGGGATTCTCTTAAGGGAGGGAACAGTGGTATACTGAGAAATCAGGTCAGTTTTAGGTTCTTGGGATCCCTGGGACTCTCCAGGGATCTAAGGAAGGAAAGTCTAAGAGTTAGAGATAGGGTGTTGGGAGGAGAGGAGGGCAATAGGGGTGTAGGGAAGATGGGCTTCCTGCCGCCAGCACCCATGGCATACTGGAGGACCTAGATTTTCTGCCTCCCTGGCCTGGGGTCTGATGTCGGAAGGGTAGGCTTGTGCCTAGCTCGCCTCAGGGCTCTGCCTCAGACCCGGAAAAGTTTAGGTGCCAGCCTCAGATTGAGCCTTTCATTGGCTTCTTCTCTGCCCTTCCCCGCCCCCTCTGACCTCTGCCCCTTTTGTTGAGCTGTTTGATTGGTTGTCCTGCGTCCCCCGGGCGCTTCATTGGTTCTTCTCCCTCGCCCTGCATCCCTGCTCCTGCACCGGTCTCCATCTCCCAGCAGAAGGCGCAGCCATGAATCCGTTATTCGGCCCCAACCTCTTCCTCCTACAGCAGGAGCAGCAGGGCCTGGCCGGGCCGCTGGGAGACCCTCTGGGAGGCGACCACTTCGCCGGGGGCGGGGACGTGTCCCCATCACCACTCGCCCCTCCTGGCCCTGCTCCTTACTCGCCGCCGGGGCCGAGCCCAGCGCCCCCCGCCGCCATGGCCCTCCGCAACGACCTGGGCTCCAACATCAACGTCCTCAAGACCCTGAACCTTCGCTTCCGCTGCTTCCTGGCCAAGGTGCACGAGCTGGAGCGCCGCAACCGGCTGCTGGAGAAGCAGCTGCAGCAGGCGCTGGAGGAGGGTAAGCAGGGCCGGCGGGGCCTCGCTCGCCGCGACCAGGCCGTGCAGACCGGCTTCATCAGCCCCATCCGGCCGCTGGGGCTGCCCCTGGGCGCCCGGCCTGCGGCCGTCTGCACCCCGTCAGCACGGGTGCTCGGCTCGCCCGCGCGCTCCCCAGCCGGCCCCCTCGCCGCCTCTGCCGCCTGCCACTCATCGCCCTCCACCTCCGCTTCCACCTCCACCGCCTTCTCCTCGTCCGCCCGCTTCATGCCCGGCACCATCTGGTCCTTCTCTCACGCCCGCCGGCTGGGACCGGGACTGGAGCCCATGCTGGTGCAGGGGCCTGGCCTGTCGTGGGTGCATCCCGACGGGGTGGGCGTCCAGATCGACACCATCACCCCCGAGATCCGCGCCCTCTACAACGTTCTGGCCAAGGTGAAGCGCGAGCGGGACGAGTACAAGCGGAGGTAGGGATGGGGACCGGGCAGGTGGGGACATGGCTTAGTGTCCTGCCACACTCAGGGCTAGGACGAGGTGTGGAGAGGAGGGCAGCTGGGGCCCAAGAATCAGGGAGGACTGAAATAAGAGTAAAATTCCTCTGTGTAAGGGAGCTCGGAAGTGGGTAGATGGAATTGAATGGGGAAGACTGAATCCTCAGAGAATGCAGAAGTCAGACTCGTGACAAGAAGGAGACTGGGAGCTGAATACTGTGGGGAATTCATAGTTTTCTTCTGGCTTGTCTCTGTCCCATCTAGGCTGCAGTGTTTGGATGACGGTGTAACTGTGGGCTTTTGTGAGGTGTGAAAGGGCCAAGGGTCTGAGAGATCACATCTGGGGTACTACTTATCCCCACCAGTCTCAGGCCTCTAGTAGTTTTGTGATATAAGCTCTATATACTGATCAGAAGTAAGAGGCAAAGGATATAGCTTAAATTAGAAGGGAGTGGTGAGGAAGGGCTGCCCTGTGCAGTGGGTGATCCTGCCACTGCCTAGAGCTTTCCACAGCAGTGTTGTGAATGGAAGCTGGGTATCTGCTTTAGTTTCAAATGAGGGGCTCTGGGGACTGCAGAGCTTTGCTTGGAGTAGGTAAAAAACATGGGAAAAGAAAGAGTGAAGGGAATTCCCTAGGGAAAGGGGAAGGGACTGGTAGTTGTTGTAGGGCTAGTGGAAGAGGGGAATCTGAAAGTGCAGAGAGTCAAGGGTGGAGGCATTCATCAGAGCCAGCAGGAGAGCTGAGTAGGAGAAAGTTGGGAATGTGGACACACCCTGTGAGTATAAGGCAGCTGGGGGGCAGGCCCAGTATGTTCTGAGGATGAAGATTTCGCTTTTTGTGGGGAACCTGGCAGGGTAGCACAAAAGTTCAGGTGAAGGGATGCAGTGCTAGGGTGCTGACTCTATACCAAGTGGATTCCTTAGAGGGTTGGTAAGCATGCTGTTAGGCCAGGAGCGCAAGCTCAGCCAGCACTCTGTAGACTGTGCCCGATGCCATGGTCAAAGAGGAAAATGACAGGTCAAAGGGAGGCTTTGGTTTGGGGGCCTTCAGGTTTAACCTTTAGTTAGCTACTCTGACCCCTTGTGGGTAGGCCTGGGAATTACCTTTGCAGCTGAGTGTAGCTGAGATTTATCTATGGGATTGGCTGAATGTTCTGGGAAGTTACCTCTGGGTCCGGGGGATGACCTTCAGGCATCTATAACCTGCCAGAATCTAGCCAATTACAGATCATTGTGCTTTCTGAGGCTGAGTTTTGTCCTCATACTGGCTACCTTAGTTGTAGTCCATGTTATAAGTGTCTTTGGGAATCCTGGTTATCCAAAATCATCATCCAGATGCCACCCAGACCCAGCCTGCCCTTGTTGCAG